TTACTAGTCTTCATGTAATTTCAAAAGCTACGTTCGCGTACTGCTATTTTCCTTCCTTCTCTGGTTGTAGTGCGCTGTACAAGAGAATTTCTGAAGGCAAAACGACCAGGATCTTTAACGTAACTCTAAACTCCATTCGACCCCTAATTCTAAAAGTAAATCTTACTCTAACCCTGAAGTTTATCCTAGCCCAGCCCTTAGTTCTTAACCCACTCCTAAGCCTTCCCCCATCAGCAACATCCGAAGAACAAGCCTATATCCTCATTTTAACTATAAAAATATTATGGTAATGTGTCTACCTAAAACAAATAAGTAGGTATGTTATAGTAACTAAACTTCTGTGCTTACACATATCAAGCCGAGGGCGAATGCGGTAAAAATAATTTCGACATCCATCGATGCCACAGGCAGGACTCCGAGGGTGGCCAGGCGGATCGGTTTATGTAGGTACCCATAGCCCTGTTCAGTTATTCACGTTAAAGATACATTTATCTTTGTTAACATGTTTCGACAGTCCATAAAAGGGGCATCAAAGATACCACTATGTACAGCAACGTCTATGTAAGGACCCAATAATGTTTACTCTTGTGAGTTGTCAGAGCATGAAGGGTACTTTTAACATCTATTTACTTCTATGCATCGCTTTCTGTCATCAACTAATTGTCTTCATCTGTGAAAACATACACTCTTCTGGGGCACTTTTGCCGTTGGCACAACAGCGCGTCTCTTGTACCCGCTGATGTTTATCGACGTTCAGGCGTAGCATTTGTAGTTTTTGCGTGAAGCTTTTTATAATGGTGCAGATTTTTGCGGCATTTGTCTGCTTCTCCATGTTAACAGTAATCATGCTCTACTGCGAATAATACGTAGCGAGTAAAGGTGGGCTTTCGGTGGTAAGTGGCCCCTTGCCAATGGAGCTAAGCCTGGAGGTGCATACGAAGACATAAAGCATCAGGAAACGGTGTTATCCCGTTCATGTAACCCTGAGTTGTTGTTCTAGACAGCAGTTGCCATAAGTGATACCAGGACAGAGTTGAGTCATGAGAGCGTGGCAGTCGTTTTGGCATTACTGTAAATTAATTTATTTATTCATTTTACTGTGTCCAATGAATTATTTTTAATTTGGCGAGGGGTAGCATGTTCACATAGTGCATAGATGACCATGACTGCCTACTTGCATCTGTCCGGGCGGAAGTCAGTCAAGTGGCCACAAGTCTGGGCGTCTGGGATTACGCGACATAGTTTTGTTGCATTAGCCGTTCAGGTAGAATAGCGCAACCTCGGTTGTTTGAACTCCAAAGTAAATAAGTTTACAGATTCGGTGACGGCAGCCGACCACAGCTCTTCGGGATTGGAGCACGGAGTACCAAAAAGTACGCCTGCACGTACTGATCGGCACTCATTTGGCTTCAATGTGGGATTCTCCACCGAAGAGATTTCCCATGAACGTCACTTTAAGAGAGGAAGAGAGCCATCGCAGTCTGTACCCTAGTTCTCGGTTCGTTGATATTAACTTCCCAGTTTACCAACTTCCGGGACATTACTTTTAGTCCGTTGTGCTGTATGACCGTCTAAACAGAACATGGTAATATGAACTTGCAGCCTCCTTAAAATATGCGGCCTTGCGGTCAATTTCTAGGGCAATACATCTTTCCGTTTCTTCATGCTGTTGTTTACCCTAATCAAAATGTAATTTTTATCGTGCTCTTAACCAAAACCCTGCAGTTAGCACGAGCACAAACCTGAATCTTTAAAATAATCCTGGCTCTAACTAAAGCTCTGATCCTAACCTTAACTTTACACCTAGCCCCAACTTAATCATAAGCACAACGTTAAGCCCAAACCCAATTTCCCCTGAATTTGGCGAAAATCTACATGCATTGTGAGTGGTTCATCTTCCCGTGTTCTGTTAAGTCAGTTCAGTTTATTTGAGGGAAATGCATGTGTGTGCCCTTGAACTCCCCATTTGCTTACATGCACGTTGTGATACCAAAAAATGTAATGCAACATTAGATACGATGGAGTGTTACAAATCTATCTAGATAAATGAAACGAAATAGTTACACAAAATGTGAAGGAAAATGAGCAAACTTGTGCAATTGTTACTTCGGGAACAGTACCTCAGCCTATTGGCGATGCCAAATGATACGAGCCAGTGAAGTTAAACCAAAGCAAAAAAGAACAGACAGTGAAACAGAGTTCCTTGGGCATTTCTCGGAAGCCATATAAATTTGATGGAGATTTGTGGATTTTTAAGGAGAAACATCGGAAGATATGATAGGCCCGTCATGACGAGAACTTATGTGGGTTCGAAACGTGAGGAAAATGTTATGGCAGGAACTAGCTTTCATCACCGTATAACCGTGCAATTAGCTAGAGGGGCAACCGTCAGGCAGTGGACTCTATCATCCTCACAAGTCATTATTACCGAGATCGAAGCTATGGATTGACCTGAGGATAGGTTTTCCCGAGTTAGATTTGGTATCCCCGCTCCCACCGTGTGCACTCCTTGGATCCGAACTAGACCGGCAATAGAAGGGATGGGCAAACAATGGCCGACATGCTGTCAGGTCTTTATCCAACACCTACTACACATATTCTTTGTTCTTGTTCATGGCCGATACAGTAGTGCGCACACCTTTGAGGACCCCTGGCCCCAGCCCATAGAATGCGAGTCAGAACACCTAATTTGCACGTAGTACAAACCTTGTGCAACACAGAGGTGTGAATGATGCCAATGCAAATAGTCTTCATGGGGGGCGGGTTAACGGATTCATCAAAATTGTTTTAACCAAAACTCCTGCAGCCACATTGTACAAAGGTGATAATCTCTACCCTATGCTGATCAGGGGTTGTGATCGCACGGCGGCGGCGCACCTCTGATTGTAAATCCGGCTTCGGCGGTGAACCACATTTTTGGCATCCAATGTGAGACAGAGTAAGCTTGCATTTCACCTA